TCTGGGAGATTTGTGGGCAAAGGTGTCGAGAGCGTGTAAAAATTTAATTTATGCATTCTGTGTTTGCTCACCTAAACTACATAATTCTAGTAGGTTTTATTTTGTTGTATTTAAAAAAATAACCATAGATAAAAACAATATCATATTGTTTTCATCTATGGTCCCGATTCCTGTTGAATTCCCAATGCATACGTTTTAGGTTTTTGCTCGGTTTACGGATAGCCTCATTAATTATGACTGCTTGTATAATTTATTTTGTGTAAAATAAATTATAGTGACTGTTTAGGAAAGTATTTAGTAGTTACTTAAATATTTTATTCTTAATATTCTTTCTCTTCCACAAGGGAAATGAAATTTCTGTATTTGGCTGTATACCATCAATCACAAAAGTTTTATTTAAAAATCCTTTATAAAAGGTATATAATTAAAATACCCTTTCAGGTTAAATTACAAACGTTTTCGTACTAACAAGTCCATCATCAGTGTATTTACCTGAAATAAGTATTACCACTTTAGCGAATACAAACGAAAAGAGTAATTTTCGACTAAGGAAAAAAGTAATGTGGTTAAATACTTACCTGGTGTACATGTGTCAAGCGACTAAATACTTGGGTAAAAACCCTTAACCCATTATGACCTAGTGTTACTTTTATGTAACGTTTGAAAAGGTACTTAGAAAACTGTACATGAAGTTTCAGTTTGGCTATAATCACCTAGATGACGGTGTAAGGCATTCAAAACAAACATAAAAACCATTATGTGCAAAGCTACGCTGATTGTTGTTTTAGTTAGTGAGTAACTGCAGTCGGAATCAGATATAATTTAGCAACTAACATGGAGCATAACATTCGTTTCGAGTAAGTGTTACAAAAATCTTATTTTTAGAGTAAAATGCATGATATTTTTACAAGAAAACTGTTAAATTAGATTGAACGGAATGAGAAGACCAGTTTTTTGTTATTGTCTGTGAAAATTTATAAAATACTTTGTGTATGTTTGATAACAACAGCATTGAATTGTAAAGTTACATATATGTAACGCTAGGCTCTCTGAAGTCTCCTTTTCAACCTTGACATAAGTATTAATACTTTGTATTTCTTTCTAGACGAGGTTTAACTCTACAAGAAGCAATATATTTACCATATATAGATGACACAGATGAAATCTTCATTGATCCTCCGGATGCCAGTGAATTAACGGATAAGGATTGTGGAAATGGGATGAGGGAGGCACTTTAGACAATTTAACTGGCCGTCAACTTCTGTCCAAAGTGGAAATTAGATTTAAAAAATATAGAGATAGTGATGATGATGAAGCTCTTTCAGATGATGCATCCGAACAAAATACAGACGGAGAAACTATAGAAAATGAGAATTTTGAAAAGCAGGAAGAGAGGGAGGATATCTCAAAAAAAAATTAAGCTTAACAGTACAATCAACTGGAACGAGAATTGTGATTTAGTTCCGTCACATGCACGACCTCTTCCTGTGCAAAGTGATAAAAAAGATATCGAAGATCCTGTTGCTCTGTTCGAAAAAATGTTAGATGATAATATTATCCAGATGTTGGTAACAGAAACAAGAATGTATGCCATGTTTAAAAACTGTCCAGATCCTCAAATTACGGCGGAAGAAATTCGATGTTTCATTGCCATTCTAATCTTGAGTGAATACGACTGCAAAGCTAGCAAGCGAAACTTTTGGCACAGCCAGCCTACATGCAAAATGAAGCAGTTTATAATGTTATGAACCGGGAAAGATTCACTCAGATGATGCGATTTATACACTGCGCTAATAACTCCAAAGTCGACACTAATGACAAACTCTTTAAACTTCGACTGCTTGCAAATATGGTAAAAAATAATTTTCATAAACATTTTGTTCCCGTTGAGCACCTGTCTTATGATGAGTCAATGATTCGATACTTTGGCAAGCACGGGTGCAAGCAATTTATAAAAGCAAAGCCAATTAGATTTGGTTTCAATATGTGGGCGCTCAATTCCTACAATGGATATCTTCTAGATTTTGAATTTTACCAAGGTAAACAAAATATATACACACCACAGTTGAGGAAACCTTTGGAAAACCTACCACTCCTCTGATAAAACTGTTGGAGCAGATACCACATAAAGTAATATCCTTATCATTTCTATGTGGATAATCTTTTCACTAATATAAACGTATTTAACTACTTGAAATTAAAAAGATATAATATTACGGGAACCTTTAGGGATGACAGAATTCCTAAAACTTGTCCACTAACGAGAAAAAAAGAATTGAAAAATTTGGACCGTGGTAGTTTTGCTTCATGTATCGACAGCGATCATGGTATTTTTTCATAAAGTGGGTAGACAATAACGTTGTGGCTGCTGCATCTACAGCTTATGGTGCTGCGTATGTGGGAACTGTGCGTAGATATAGCAAAAAAGAAAAAAATATGTGCAAATTCCAAGACCGCAAATCATTGCCAAATATAACAATAATATGGGAGAAATGGATTTAATGAACCAAAACATCTCTACATATAGAATTGGAATCCGTTTAAAGAAGTGGTGGTGGTGTATCTTCACATGGCTTATTGATGCAAGTATTAGTAACAGATGGATATTCTACAAGCACTACTACCCCAAGATTTCCCAATTAGATTTCAGAAGATGTATTGCTCAGTCATATCTTAAAAAATATACAAATGCTCCAAAGCATGGAGGAAGACCCAGTTTTTCAAAATTTAGTGTCTCGCTTAATATAATCTCAGACAATCTAAAGTACGATGAAAACAATCACCTTTTAATATTTATACCTAACAACAAAAGATGTCGCTGTGCAGGAGAGCGGTGTAGCAGTAGTACTCGAACAATGTGTAGCAAATGTGATGGCATCTGTATTGACTACAATTATAATTTTTATATGAAGATATTCTAGTTATAATATAAATTTCATTGTTAGAGAATTATTTATTCTCTTATTTATTTATTTACTTAAGAATTTATTTTATTTTAGTTACGGTACCGTAAGGATCTAGCGTTATATTTATGTAACACATATTTTTTTGTTAGTTAATAAGTTTTTGGGTTGAAAAATTGATAATTTGTCTATTATTATACATTTTTAATAAAAATATATTAGTTTCTTTAATAAATTACAAAAAAAAAAATAATTCGGGTCATAATGGGTTAAAATGGTACAAAATTTGTTATTTATAAACATTATATAACAAATTTTATACCATATTGAGGGATTATTTACACCAAATTTTGTACCCTTTTAAGGGTTTTTACCCAAATATTTAGTGGCTTGACTCATGTACACCTAGTAACTATTTAACCACATTTCCTTTTTAAACTTGGTCAAAATTTAATCTTTACGTTTGTATTCACTAAAGTGGTAATACGTATTCAAGATAAATTCACTGATGATGTACCTGTTAGTCCAAAAACGTTCTGTGATGTAGCCCGAAAGGGTCGTTTAATTATACATTCTAAAACTTTATACCTTTTATAAAGGATATTTAAATAAAACTTCTTATTTTTTTCCTTATTTAATATTTCATATTTATTATTCATTGTTAACCTTTAGCTACACTCGGTTTTATTGCAACAGTTAACTTCATTAGGTTAGGTCAATTACCTTATTTTTCCCATTGATAATATGGTGCTGAAACATGGACTCTCCAAAAAATCAATCGAAGTAAAATCGAAGCTTTAGAAATGTAGGTCTACAGAAAAAATCTACCCGTGTCCTGGACAGAGCTAACCTATCAATTCTGGAAGAGGTTCATATAAAAGACAGGCTGTGATTAGACAGATACGACATTTGTAGGTTATGAAAAGGCCTGTGACACCATAGATCAACAAAAAATGTTGAAAGCCTCGACAGAATGCCGAATGGACTGGATATATAAATATAAATAACCACATGTACCAAAATGCAACAGCTAGTGTTAGAGTGGGTAATCGTCAAACTCAGAAATTCCCGATACAACGTGGAGTACGTCAGGGGCACACCATATCACCGAAACTGTTCACTACGCTTTTCGAATATATATGAAAAAGGGCAAAACTGACCGACAAGAACATAAAGATATATGAAGAAAAGCTTAACCACCTGAGGTTTGCAGATGATACTGTGAAAAGATAACCAAACCGTTGAGCTTCTCTATCATATAAGACTGACTTGAGCAGCCTTATGGAGCGGAAACGTTGATATGACAAGCAGAACAGTTAAAAAGATTTGTGAGAAAATCCCAAACCGCCAGCTACGACAAACATCAGGAGTGGCTGATGTTGAACAACAGTGAAATGGAACTGAGGAGCTCACGTGACTCGAATGATAGATAACAAATAAACAAAGCGGATATTCAAATGGAGACCAAGGGATGCTGACCATCAAAGCAAAGGTTGTCCACCTACACGTTAGACTGACGATCTAAAACGTTGCCACAGGAATTGGATGCAAGAGGCATCCAGCAGTGGACAACCGAAGATTGAACGATGATGACGATGATTAAAAAAACTAAATCGAACATACCTTAATTACTTTAGCGGATGGAACTATTGGTAGTAGAAGGTAGTAGACCAAATAAAGGCTCTGGGGAAAACTCTCAAATGAAACCGTCCATTTGGCTCAGGATCGTATGCAATGGAGGCAGGAAGCTAGCTAAAATGTCACCACGTCCTGAGAAGAGCTCAAGGAATGAGGAGCAGTTTGATAAAGATGAAACAATAAAACAATCCAGTAGATCTTTATGGACGAAAGTAACAATGACCGAAGTTAAACAGTATTGTATATAAATTATATAATATTAATTTAAATATATAAACCTGGTATGGCATGTAAAGCAAAAATTAAATGCATGTTAATTTTGTAATTTGATTCAATCAAATATCTAAAATTTGATATTTCCATTTTTATTCTAAATTGTTTGAGTACTTTAAGAATTAAAATAGCGAATTCGGGGTCTCAATAACTTATCTCGTAAATAAAAAAAGGGCAAATTCTCACCTGACAGTTGCCGATAAGTTTCCCAGTGCTGCATCAGCCTTAGGGCATCTCCATTTTTGCCGTTTACCAGGAATTCTTGATTCACTTCAAGACATACTCGCTCCAGTTCCCTAGCTATCTCATCTAAGTGTCGGCTATAATCGGTCTGGAAAGAACAGATAAAAAAGGAAGTTATTACTACGTGCTTTTTTAAACTTTATAAAGAGTCGCGAGGGACTGTTTATTTTATAGTACTCAAGATTTAAATTTGGCTTTTAACATTATTAAAGTTTGTTTTCAAGACTTCAAAATAACAACTTAGTATAACAAGTAGGCGTTTATAGGGTATTTACTTCGTAAATACAGTTATGTAATTTTTGACATGAATATAATGACCCAACATCTTGAAAGGATCAATGTTGAAAAGATATTTTTTTACTAATTATTTGTATAAAAATATGTTTGTCAATAAAAATTTATGGTCACTATCACTAAAAATCCTAAGTTTTAATCATCGTTTGACCCGGATCTATCCACTGCTGGATATAGGTCTCCCTCAGTCTTTTCCATGTATTTCTGTTTTGTGCTGTTTGCATCCAATTTTTGTCGATCCGTTTTATGTCATCAGACATCTTGTTGGTGGACGACCTCTACTTCGATGTGCTTCTTGTCTCGGTCTCCGCTGTATTATTCGCTGTGTCCATCTGTTATCCGACATTCTAGCTATGTGCCCCGCCCAGTTCCACTTAAGGGTCATAATTATTTCTATGGCATCTGTCACTCTTGTTCTCCGTCTTATTTCCTTGTTCGTGATCCAATCCCTACGAGAAATGCCTACCATCGATCGTTCCATGGCTTTTTGGGTAACACAAATTTTATTTATTACTTTCTTGGTTAGTGTTAATGTCTCTGCACCATATGTAAGTACTGGCAACACGCACTGACTAAAGACTTTTCTTTTAAGACACTTAGGCAGTTCTGATTTAAAGAACATAGCTCAGCTTGCCGAATGCCACCCAAGTGAATCCTACGCGGCGGCTTAGTTCGCACGAGTTTTTATAATAATACGAAAAAGAAAAGAAAATTGGAAAACCAATTTATAATTGTTTATTGCAAAAAGTACGGCCTAGTTATTATTTTCAAGTGGCATAGACCAGGCTGGATCGGTTTTGGGCTGGATGTGAGAGTTGGGTGGCATTCTAATTTTTGCAGAAAAAGATGTTGTGTAATACTTATCCTCCCTCACAATAATATTTCCTCCAGGGAATATTAATTAAAATATTAAGATATATAAAAATGATTAAAACAATTTTTGTTTTTATAAAAACAAATGTTTTTATTTCTGTAAATTTCTTGTTTATAACTTTAAAACGATTAATTTTGGTGCAAAGTCGTAATGAAATAAAATAGCGACAATTTAATTTTCGATAAGATACGACTGATTTAAAATGTTTAGTCTGCAAGCAGTTTTACGATTTTGTGTCCAGTTGAACTCGTCGTTTAATATGATCGTTTAGTAAATCATACATTTTTCCAAAAAAAATCTTTTTACGTTTCTCTATTATTGCATTTGTAATGCATTCTTATGCCAGTTACATTCATTGCACCATAAAATAAAACCATTGGCAATCAACCATGACACGACGTCTACTCCCCCTTTAGTTCTATCTCTGACGATTTCCGGCTTTCTCCGAATTTCTTTGTAACATTTTTTTGTGATTAGATTAGTAACTAATTATTATATATTACCCTATATGGCCGTATCCAAAAATGTCCGTTTTGCGCCGTATGAGAGGAGCCGATACAGTCTTTTATGAGAACATAACGGTACTTTAGAATTTTGTATCTTTATAGACCTAATTTCCTATAAGTTTATGCTCCAACTGCAGACAAACCATTAAAACTTTCTACAAAGGCCTACACAACATTTTAAAATCCATTAAAACGCAAGATGTAACGATTATAATGGGAAACTTTAACGTAAAAGTTGGGGAAGAAAAAGTAAAAGAATGTACAGGAGGATATGGTATGGGCAACAGAAACGAAAGGGGTGACAGGCTTATCGAATTTTTCCAAAACAATAATTTTGTTCTAGCTAATACATTATTCAAAATGCCAAAGAGAACAAAGAGAAGACTATATACCTGGAAGTCACCAGCAGATCAAGAAGAGAGAATTGTAAGAAACCAAATAGACTATGTATTAGTTAGACAAAGATACAGGAACGCAATTATATCCGCAAAAACCTATCCAAGTGCCGACATACGATCAGATCACAACCCAGTAGTGACCAAAATTAGCATCAAAATGAAAATACTAAAACGAAGAACAGCAAATGCAAAAATCGATACAAGTAAATTAAGGAACCCACACATAAGGCAACGCCTGGCAGATGAAATCACCAACGGATTAATGAACATTAAAGAACAAATTCTGCAAAATATTGTGACGGAGAAAAAATGCTTATTAATAAAGACAGAAATAGATAAAAGTCAAAAAGAAATTCTAATACCAACCAGATATCAAAAGAAGATAAATTTTAGATTTAATGGAAGAAAGACGTCAATATAAGAACAAAGATAATCAGATGTATAAAAAAGTGGATAAACAAATAAAATACAGAATTAAGAAAGCGAAAGAACAATGGTTAAAAGAACAATGCGCAGAAATAGAAGAATACCAGAAAAGACATGATAGTTTTAACACACCTAAAAAAAATGTTAAAGAATTAACTCACAAAAATAGAACAAGAAAACCGGGAATACTGAAAGATGCAAATGGGAAACTTGTGTTGAATACTAACGACAAATTAAAGAGATGGACAGAATACATCAATGAACTGTTCAAAGACAATAGAACATAACAGATGGAGATGGAAGTAGAAGAGGATGTGGTTTTAAAGATATTACAAGAGGAAATTAAAATGGCATTAAAAAAACATCAAAAATGGTAAATCATTAGATCCAGACCAAATCTTAGACCCTATAAAAATCTTAAAATGCATGAATGATGAAACCTTAGACAATATAGTAGTTAACTCAATATGCAAAACAGGACACATACCGAAACAATGGTTACTCTCCACCTTTTGTGCTATCCCTAAAAATACAAACCCTAAATATTGCAGTGAATACAAAATAATATCACTAATAAGTCACATTCTCAAGTTATTTCTAAAAATAATACATGGTCGTATAAATAAAAAACTGGAAGAAGGAATAGATGATAGTCAGTTTGGGTTTAGAAACGGACTAGGAACCAGAGAAGCGTTATTTGCTTTTAATGTGATGGCTCAAAGATGCATGGTTATGAATGTTGATGTGCATGTTTGTTACGTTAATTTTTAATTAATTTTGAAAAAGCAATTGACGAAGTAAGAGATGAAAAATTAGTCCAAATTCTAAAGACAAAAAACATAGACCATAGGGACTTACGAATAAAAACAAACCTCTACTGAAATCAAAAAGCACAATTCGTAATAGATAACGAACCCAGTTAAGAAATAGAAATCAGGAGAGGAGTTAGGCAGGGATGTATTATGTCCCCATTACTATTTAATGTATATCATCATCATCTTTGGCTCGACAATCCTCTGTGGATCTTGGCCTGCTCTAAGATTCGTCGCCATTCTGTTCGGTTTTTGGCAACATGTTGCCATCTTCTGATTTTTAATATTCGTAAGTCGGTTTCTACTCCATCTAACCACCTAATTCGCGGTCGGCCTTTACTTCTTTTTCCTACAGGTGTTCCTGTGATTAGCTTTTTAGCAATGGTATTTTCTGGCATTTGTATTATGTGTCCAGCCCATCTAAGTCGCTGTGTTTTAATGAACGTTATGACATCTGGCTCATCAAAGAGCTGATACAATTCAAAATTATATCTTCTGCGCCACTGCCCTTGGTCGTTTACAGCTCCAAATATTTTGCGGAGTATTTTTCGCTCAAATATTCCCAAAAGTCTTTCATCTTTCTGGGTTAGTGTCCATGTTTCTGCTCCATATGTAAGGACCGGCCTCAGCAATGTTTTGTATATAATAATTTTAGTTCTTCTTTGAATGTTTCTTGAGTGGAAATGCTTTTGGAGTTCATAGTATGCCCTATTTGTAAGATTTATTCGTCTTTTGATTTCTTCGCTTGTTTTATTGGTAGCAGTCAATAGCGACCCAAGGTATGTGAAGTTGTCAACACGTCCAAAGGTATGACTTCCAAAGACTGTTTCTCGTTCCTCATTTGCTATCGGATCCTTTGTAACCAACATGTACTGGGTTTTGTCTTCGTTGATGACTAGACCGACATGTTTCGCCGCTGTTTCCAATTCTAGGAGATATTGCTCAACATCTCGCTTGCTACGCCCTACTATGTCAATGTCATCAGCATATGCTAAGACTTGTATCGATCTATTTAATGTATATAGTGAAGCCATTTTTGAAGAATCATTACTATCTCAAAGTGAAGGAATAATAATTAACGCAAGACCTATTAACAACATAAGATATGCAGATACCACCGTGATTATGGCAAGCTCTGCTTAACAACTCCAATTACTGATAAACAAAACAAACAGTTTCTGTGAAAAATATGGACTAAACATGAATATAAAAAAGACCAAATATATGATAATAAAAAAGAGAACAAATATACCAACAAACATATATTTGGGAAATGTACCAATAGAAAGGGTTGATAAATACAAATACCTAGGAACCTGGATTTCAGAAAATAATGATTAAACAACCGAAATAAGAGCCAGGATAGAATGCGTTTGTAAAAATGAAAACAATTCTCTGTAACAAAGATCTTAGATTAGAACTGAGAGTAAGAGCACTGAGACGCTACGTGTTTTCGATGCTGCAATATGGACTTGAAGGCTGAACATTGAAGCAAGAACACATAAATAAGTTACAGTCCTTTGAAATGTGGTGTTACAGAAGAATGCTTAGAATAGCATGTACACAGAAGAAAACTAACACGGAAGTATTGCGAGAAATTGGCAAAGAATGCGGAATAATAAACACAATAAAAATAAGAAAGTTACAATATCTGGGACACGTAATGACGGGATAGCGATATTAACTACTAAGGCTGATGATATTGCTAATAAAAGATAAGAGGAGGAAGGAGTATAAGCAGAAGGAGAGTGTCATGGTTGAAGAATTTAAGTAACTGGTTT